TTCATTAAGGCCTTACTTCTAAAGTCTTTCTTTAAAACCTTGCTTCTTTTCTATTCTTTAAAGTCTCTTTCCTTAGACTGGTTCAGTCCCATGTTCTCGCTTAGCTTTTCTAAAGCCTATGTATAAAGTTCTCGGTGCAGAAAGCTGCTCTGGTGGAGGCACAGCCAGCAGCAGCAGCAGTGGCAGCCAATCAAAATCCCCATCAAAAAGCCCTGAGTCCTCCTTCAGCAGTCTTTTATACCCAGTGGTAAATGAGGAGGTGGAGCAGCAGTTCTTGGAGAGGGGTGTGACAATGTAACAAGAGAAACCTGTGTTCCTACTTCTTTCTCTGAATGCAAACAATTTAGGAAAAGCAGCTGTGCTGCATTTTGCACTCTTCTGAGGCTGGGGGCCATGCCAAAGTCAGCCTGCTGATTATTGGGCACAGCTGTGCTTATGCCAAGTTCTCATAGGCTTCTCATAGTCCACTACGACCTGGCAACTCTATTCCTAGACATTGTCTACAAGAAGCACTTGGACAAGAATGTTCACAGCAGCCTTATCCATGGGCCCAGACCATGGGCACAAGCACAATATCTATCCATGATACATGAACAATTGTTATTGAAGTCTACTCAGCCCTGCACAGGAATGAACTATTGAATCACACAACAGAAGTGACAGGTCTCAAAAACAAAATGCTGAGCCTGTAGAAGCCAAACGAGCCCACACTGTATGATTCCATTCCACCAAGCTCTGGAACAGGAACCCTGGGCAATGGTAAGGAACTCTGAATGTTACAGGGCCACCTGCAATTGTCAAAAGTCAGTGAGCTGAATGAACACAGACTGAGCAATCTACAGTGTCTTAGTTACACTTCAGCAAAAAGTGCCTGTGGAAGGGAGGGGGGAAGGAGGAAGGGAGGGAGAGAGAGAGAAAGAAAGAGAGAGACAGACAGAGAGGGATGGAGTGGGTGGGGAGAAGGTGAGGAAATCTATTTTCAAGCCCATACCCTACACCCCAAGACCTGTGAACAGAACAAAGCAAATTCATGAATTTACAAATTTAGGTCTGGGTACTGAGAGGCAGGGCTTGGTGTGAGTTGCTTTGAGACTTTCTGAAATGCACTGCATGGGGCCCATTTGCAGGCAGGGAGAAAGCCTACAGGCCTCAGTAGACCTGCAGGTCCTGAGTGGAGAGTTCTGGAGGGTTCTCATGGACAGGACACCCATCCCTGTGGACGTCTCCGTTCTCTCATAGGTGTGTTTTTCTCCCCACTAGGGAGCCTGGAGAGGCTTCTTTTCCTTCACTTTCTCAATATTCTAGACACTTCCTTTAGGCACTAGGACCTGGCAAACCCTGGCCCAGCCTTACAAGCACAAGGAGGGAGGAAGGACTCACACTCTTCCTTCACCAGGAGCCATCTCACGGGCCTTGAGTGAGAGGGGATCAGCCAAGCAACTGAAGGATGGAGAAGGGGGGGTTCTCAAACTTGGTCCACATCAGACTCATGGGGAGCCCTGGAAAGGCTGTACCCTGGACAAACAGAATTAGAGTCTCCAGGATGGAGCCTGGCCTGTGTGTGTGTGTGTGTGTGTGTGTGTGTGTGTGTGTGTGTGTTTATGTAACTCAGAGGTAATTCCTGGGTGTAGTGAAGGTTGAGGCTTGTGTCCTGAGTGAAGGTGACAGCAAGGCAAAGCCAAGAGGCTTGAGAGAAAGATCCCAGTGCACCAGGGACCTGCCAAGTGGACAGAGAGGCAAGTGGAGAATGTGGGGAGGGAGAAAGCGTGGCTGAATAAGGCCCCACCCACGCCTCAGCCCACAGACATCTCAGGGTGCACTTATTTGCAAATAAGGTGTTTACTAAAGATGATGAGGTTGTCCTGGACCAGAGTGGGACCTAAATCCACTGACTATGACCTTATCAAGAATTGAAAGGACACACACAAGGACCCAGAAAAAGGGCCATGCCATGCGGAGCACAGTCCCATAGCCCTGGGTAGGGGGAGGGGCTCTGGAAGGAACCAACCCTGAGGTGCAGAATTCAGTTCTGGCTGCAGAACTGAAAGCTGGTTTCTGATGTCTCAGCCACTGAGACAAGTGCACAATGACAAACCAGATCAGGGGACACAGGGCAGCTTGGCCACCACCGTAGTGAGCCTTGCAGATGACACCAAGGAGAACCAGGGACACAGGCTGAGCACTGGACAATGAGGGTGAGCAGGAGACAGCGGGTCAAAGCAGGTACCTGGGAGGAGGTGGTGGCCCAGCTGTGTCTCATGCAGAAGCTCATTGTTGAGGACAGGGAAGGGCTTCCTGTCTGACCCCTGCCATTTGTTAAGAAGTGGGAGGCCACTGTCTGCCTGCAGTGAGAGCCCCTTGATCCCCAAACAGTGGATAAAAAGCTCCTTGGCACTGTAAGAACACCACTCCAAATTCTTACCATCACACCCTCCCCAGCAGGTGCCCCGATCAGTTAATCAATAAATACTGCTTTCACACAGACTGTGCCAACACACTAATTGTCAATAAACACTTACTGCATATCTCCCTACAGATGAAACAGCAAGTCAATTATTCAGTAAATAAATATAGAACTGCCAGGCATCAGTCTAGGAAAACAGAGCAAAGAAGGAAAGAGAAAACAACAGAAGATTCTGGATGAGAGAGAGGCCCACTCAGGGTGGTACTGCCAGAAAGGATGTGTTATGGAAACCAAAAGAAGGTATTTCACAGAACTAGAAAGTTGGAGACTCCAGCTTTGCCACCTACAGAGTAAAAACCAGTGAATCACTTTACCAAGAAAGGCTCAGTTTCCTTATCTGTCAGAACCAGGTAGGTGAGTCAGCCAAGTGCTTTTTAAAAAGGGGGGAAAGCAGATTTTCAAGGTTCAAATGGCTTTTTAATGCCCTGCCACCCAACTGGAGGTACATGTGGTTCAGTAATGACCCTAAGCCTCAGATTGATGACAGATAAGTTGACTTGAGGAACCCAGAGAGAGAGAGAGAGAGAGAGAGAGAGAGAATGCAGACTCCAAGAATCGCCCTGCCCAGCCTCTGCCCTGCTCTGCTGCAGCCCTGACCTGAAGAGAGAGTTACTGGCCAGAAAGGGGAGGCCTTATCTGCTCAGAATCCCCCAGATCACCAGAAAGAGCCTGCATTTCCTTCCAACAAGATCCTGAGCAGATCAGAACCAACGTGGCCACCACACCAGCTTTGGGGATAGAGGTAGCATTTGCTGAGGAGGGGAGGGGCAGGGAATTCCATCATTTCTAAAAGGATGCCCTTGTCAACACTCCTCTTCTTATGGTACCTTGGGTCTTTGTCTCCTAGGTCTGAGCACAAATGTACCACTGACTCGCCTGATCTGCCCCTCGCCTGGAAAGGATGGAAAAGATCAGAGCCCTGCGCTCACTTCCAAGCCAACCAGGTCCCAGCGCCCTCTCTCCTCACTCACTTCCAACACTGCAGGCCAGGCTTCCACTGCCCTTTCTGCACAAAACAGTCCTGCTTTCTCTTTGCTAGATTATCACCCAAGACCACCTTACCACCTTTGATTAATAGAATCCACACAGAGGTTTTTTCTGTCCCACAGAGTATTTCAAATTTGTTGTCATTTTTTAATGATTGTGTGTGCGTGTGTGCACACAAACATGTATGCGCCAGAGATGGAACCAGGGTTGCGTGCGTGCCTAGTACAAACTCTCCCACTGAGCTACACCCCTGGCTCAGTTACCTTTTTTTTTTTTTTAAATCAGATTTATAATTTATCTTTTAAAATGAGATTTGGGCTACACTGATCCCCAGTCTCCACTATTCCTTACTGCCTGCCATCCAACCTACTTGTCTCCTTTCTGCCACCTGACCTCCGTAGGAAATTGATTTTGTGACATCAAGTTACGACAAAATGTCCAATAAAAAGAAAACATCCTGAAACATAGCTTAACACGGAACATGATGATGACAACATAAAATACAATTTTTGTTTCTGAAACAATTCTTACTTTTCTCCTTATGCTTTTAAAAATAATTTCGAAACTTTTAAAAACATAGCAAACAGTAAGCTTTGTTGTGTGTCATTGCAAAATGTCAGCTGGTGGAGTGGCTCAAGTGGTAGAGCACCTGCCTAGCAAGTGTGAGGCCCTGAGTTCAAACCCCAGTGCTGCCAAAACTCACAGCCAAACACTCCTAAAAAGTACAGGCAAATAAGCTCAAAGCTGCTTGTTTCGAAGCCTGGCAGAAGTGAGCCAGGTTTCTGCTCACTTTCTCAACTAGTGCTGGTTCTCAGGTACTTCATACCAGGTTCCTAAAATCTTCAGCCACTTCACAACCACTGTGTGTGGTGGGGCCTTTATCCTCACAGACTGTGAGCTCACTGAGGACACAGAATGCATCTTGCTGCCCCATGGATGCCCGGCACTCTGCCTAGCACCTGACCTCACACAGACCACAGTCAACACACAGGGAGGGGCGGGGCAGGGGTGGCGTGCACAAAAACTCTGGTTCAAATCCCAGCCACACTGCCTTTTGGTTGTGTGCACTTGTGACTCCACCCTTTGTATTGGTAAAATGGCCCTAAGAATGCTGGTCAGAGCCAAGGGCCGCTTAGCACGGCAAGGGGCAGAGCCAGAGGTCAAAGCCATTGTGACCTGATTGTTATTTTTACCGAAAAGGAGAAAGGAGGAAGAGAAAAGATGGACACCGTGTACGACCCTGTTCCAAATGCATCTACCCTTTTTAAACCAGAACATTCATCCTTTTCAAGTCTTCTAAGCAAAGCCGTGGGCTACCCATTAGCTGGGCTGTTTTTTAATTTCCTGTGAAGCCACAAAACCCTCTACAAGTAAACAGAAGCAGAGGTAAAACCTTCCGTGGCCTCTTGGTCACCCCTGGCCAACTACGTGTCCTGTGAGTCCTGTGCATGCAGGGAAGCCACCTGGGTACCTGGCCAGGTGCAGTGCCCAGCGCGGAAGCTCAGGGAGGTACACCCCCAGGGAGGGACCGGGCCCGAGCTAGACTCACAGCACTCGATGGGGTTGGACGCGGTCTGCAAGGACACGATCCGGCCGCTGGGCTCGGGGATGTGGACGCGGAACACCAGCCGCACCCGGGTGTTCTTCCTCCCGATGTCCGTCTCGCCCTTGCGCAGCTCGATGTCGGCGTTTCGCAGCTTCAGGATCCCGGCGCAGTCGATGCTGTGCGGAGGTTGAGAGCCCACGGTTAACACAGCGCCGTGGGCACAGTGCAGAGCACGGCTGAGTCACCCACAGAGCCGCCGTGGGCAGCCAGCCGGGAATGCCCACCACGATGCCGACTCCCTACGGGAGATGACTCCCCTAGGGAAATTTTTCATGCCAGCTCTTCTCACAAAAGGACCTGAAAAACCTCAAACACACAGGGTGAAAACTGACTGTGGAGTGATCCTCACCGAGGCAAGGACAGCGTAGCCACCCTACTCTCTTGAACTTGATAAATGCACGGTGATTGGGCACAGCATCTTCCATGAGGAGATGCTCACTGACATTTTAAAAAGTGAAATGGCACAGCGCCTCCATCCAGCTCTCCAACGGCTCAGGGGAAAAATGCAGGGGGGAGAGAGAGAGGAAGTAATGACACAAATGCAGACACTAGCAACCAGGAAGGCAAGGTGAAAGCCCTGGTTCTCTGCACCCTTCTTATGGTTTTTCTGTAAGTTTGAATTTATTTTCTCATAAAAAGGTCTTTTAAGTTTTTTTTTTTGTTTGTTTGTTTTTTTGTTTGTTTTTTTTTTAGCAGATCACTTTTGTAAGTTTCACCTCCCAGTGTCACCGAAGCACAATTTCTTTGGGTCAAAGCAATTTTTTAAATGTACAAGAATTTAACCTCATCCCAGCTTACATGATTAAAAGACTTGTGCGTATTCCTTCTCCCAGTATGAAGACAAACATTTACATTCAGTACTTTTCAAATATAAACTTAAAAAATACAAATCATTAGGGAGCACTGTAGCGATCGGGGAGGCCACTCAGGGCTGCTGCAGCCACCTCTGTAGACTCCCACTCCCCCCACCCCCCACTCGGCCCCTGTTCACTTGCCGATAAGACCCGCAGCCCTCACTCCCGCCAGGCCTTACGTTGCCCGCATGTTGTTCTTTGGCTCCAGGGGGATCTCCAGGACTTTGGTGTTACCCACGAGCTTCTCATAGCTGGTGGTGGTGACAGTTTTTCCTGTGATGCGGTGTACCTGGTAGAAGGCATGCGGCTTGAGGATCCGCTCGTCGGCTGTGCCGATAAAGATCTGCAATCCCAGAGGTTTGTTCTCCATGTAGCCGTGGAGCTGGGGTGGGGAAAACAAAATCACTCACATTCAGTGTGCGAGGGCTCTAGTCTGACCACCAAAAAAGATCAGAGAGGCTTGCAGGCAGCCAAAGAGTGTGACAGGGCTGCATGGTCTAGATGAACGCAGAACTGGGAGCAACCTAGATGTCCAACCCAAGGGGACTGCTTGGGTAAATTGCAGGGATCCCTGCTAAAGTAGAGTATTACGTAGCCATGAGAAAGAGTGTAGCTTAGAATTTTGTTTATGGAGAAACAGGCAGAAAGTATATTTAACTGGTAACCAAGGATCAGGGAAATGTCACACAGCAGAGAGGACAAGAGACAATCTGGAAGGACACCAGAGCCCGACTACAGTTGCCTGGAAGACCAGGAGAAAGAACCATCACTAATTACTCAACAATATTCCAATTAACAAAGTTTGATTTGGTAATTTTAAAAAAAGGAGCAAGGCAAAAGCTGAGTAGTCTAAGTTAAAAAATAAAGGCTAGAAGAAAATGCATTCACCACTTAACACTCGAGAGCTGGACACACAGAGCACATAAAGGTGACTACCATAAGGAGACAAGGTTTGCTGGCAGCCCAAATAAAACCCACCCTCCACCCCATCCCTGTCTAATGACTTTTCCTAGCTTCATCTTTATTTAATTCAACCTAACACACTAGATTACGTCTTCCTTCCTGGTGCCCAGAGCTTTTCCTCACAAATAAATTGGCTCCCTCTTTGAGGGCAGGGATGTTTGTCTATTTCACTTGCCACAAAAAATCCCTAGCGTGCAGAATCATACTTGGCTCCCAGTGAGCATTCTAACTACGTATTTGCTGGATGAATTCCTAACATCTATGAAACAGAAAGATGGTAAGAAAGATGGCTGTCATCACAGAACACGGGATCAATTTGACTTGTAAATAGAAAAATGCAAATTTGGCAACCAGGTGACGCCATTTTTTGCTGTTAGATCGGCATACATGCAGACAGCTGATAACATCAAGTGTTTTGGAGACTGTGCACAAACAGGCAGTCTCATGCAGCTGATAAATTACACATGGTGTAAAAATTCTAAAGTGGACTGGAGCAACAGCTCCAATAAAAATACATATAAAAATTTAAAAATCAGCACGCATTCTAGAAAAGCATTGTGCATGCCAGAGTTGTGATAAAACGTTGACTAATCAGTTATATCAAAGACTGGACTAACATGACAGACCCAAGCAAAGAAATACCAAGCTGGGGCTTAAAAAAATTATTACAGTAGCATCTGTGAACTGACCAGGATTCAGCACACATTGTTGAAAGGAAGAGAAACAATGTGTCAAAACCTGGTGCTCACAGAACAAAGCAGAATGTTTTCCATGCATCCACTGATACATATATAGCTGCAACAAAGAAAGGTGTGGAAGGATATGCTCCAAACAGACCACACCATCACTACCTCAAGGGATGGAGGAGGAGCTCAAGATTGACAAAGTGGTCAAAGAGGATTTGAACTTTATCCACCATAGCATAGAAAGAATATATTATTGGAAGCCTGGGATTTTTAATATTAGTTTTAAACATACATTGGATAACAAAAGACAGAAGATCATTGCTCTGAGAGTTTGATGATGAGTTCCTGCCAGTCCCTGGAACAGCAACGCTAATTCAATATTTAATCCTTCGGTGCCTCCATTCCTTTCTCTGCAAGTTGAGGATGACTGTGACAAGGGACAATTAAGATCCCAACCTTCTCTGAAGTTCTGTAAAACTTCTGTAGGAGCTCCTATCACCTGCCAAAAACAAACAAAGGTCCCAGGGTGACATATGACCACACATGGCCAATGGACAAGCTACTAGCCACACACACAGACTAATTAAAAAAATCAAACAAAATTGAAAATTCAGTTTCTGACTCCTATTAGCCACATGTGGCTAAAGTCACCACAGTGGGTGGCATGGATATAAAATATTTCCATTATCACAGGACGTGACACCATTGGACACTGGGGCTCTGGAAAGATGAGCTCTGGTGGCTCCTTCTAAAACACACAGACAGAAAATTAAAGGACATTAAAGAAGTAGAATGGGGGGGAGGATCAGTGGGAGGGGAGAAGGGGGCCAGGCCAGGGTAAATGGAGCTTGAATACAACTAAAGTACATTATATATGTGTATGAAAAAACTAAAAATAAAAGCCACAGTGAGGCAGGCTGGGTGGGAGCCAAGCTGGATGCAGCCTGCTCATATCTGATAGCACACACAGCACTGACATAAGTGTCTGGGGCTTGGGGAAGATGAAAGGCCAAGTCAGAAACTCTTATCTGAAGATCACGTACTGTTCTGAGCTGCAAAAGCAAAGGGAAGAAGGGAAGGATCGAGAGGAGATTTTGTTTTACTTTGCACGAGCCCCAAGATAAACGTATTTCTTCATCTCCCTCCTGGATTTGTCAGGCCTGGTGAACACAGGTCCTTGGTGTCAGGAGGAAGCCAGGCAGGATGGAAGCAGGAGCCTGCATCCTCCTTCCATGCTGGGGGCACCTGGAGAGAGCTCGGTCACGTCCCCTCAGCTCTACCTGCGTCAGCCACTTCTGTCCCCTCCCTTGCTGGTGCACCATTGCCTCTCACTTGGGGAACCTCCGACACCCCACTTGCCTTTTGCTGGTCTTTCATAGAGCAGCTTGGTGATATTTTAAAAATGCAAATCAGATCCGGACACCCCCTGTTTACAACCCTCCAAAGACTTCCTGTGGCCTTAGAATAGAATCCAAATTCAGTGGCACAGTGGTCTCTGAGGCTCCCCACAGCCCCACCTCGGCCTTCTCTCTCCATCCTGCTACAAGAGGCCTTCATCAACCCTCTTCCTGTTCCCTCAACACACCAAGCTCATTCTGATCTCAGGGCCTTTGCACCAGCCATCATCCCTGCCTGGAATATTCTTTCAATGCACACTTAGTTCCCAGAGCTTCACCTCTTTCTTGAACCATGTGATTTGCACACACCCAGTACCAGGCCAGCTCTTTATGCCTTGCTAGAATTTAACTGTGAAATGTTTAGAAATTTTCAAAGCCAGTTGACACCACACTGGTCAGCTGTGTGTGTATATTTCCAGCCTTGGTGGGAATATTTACACCAAAAAACTGGCAAATGCTACAAAGCAGGGCTTCTGCCTGGAGACGAAGCATCCACTAGCATAGCACTAAAATATTTATTTCCATCTAAAATGCCCTTATTCATTTACTAATTTCCTCTCCTCCCACCTGAACCTGAGTTCCAAGGTAGCAGGGCCCTCATTCACTGTGTTTGCAATGGCAGTGATGAAAGAACAGCCACTGTCACAACCGCAGCAGTGCACAGTGCCTGCTTCCCTCGTGCCAAACACAGCACTCAACATTTCTCACGCCTTGCACAACCAACTCTACAGGACAGGTCGGTCACTATCCATCTGATGACTGAGGAAGCTGAGGCCTGCTAAGGTTGGGCAACTTGCCCAGTCAAACACAGGACAGAGCCAGGATGTGAACCCCCAGCTCTCAGGCTCCAAGACTGCCTTCTCAATACCATCCTCCCCACACCCTGGGCAGCTGGTGGACTCTCTGCTCTCTGATCTGGACCTCTGGGTCAGAAAACACAGGTCCTCGGAGGAGCCACGAGCAGACACCAGCTTACAAGATCAAGAATGACCTTCCTGCTGCACAAGGGGAGGAAGTGAAGAGAGAGGAGGAGGGAGGGGGAGAAGAAGGACACAGCACCCAACACAAGCACAAGCCACCACACCAGCTCCCACACTTATTTTTATAGTGAAAATATTAAACTCTACTCTTTGAGCAAATGTGAAATATACAATGCGTCATTTATGACAGTTGCCATCCTATGCAATCACTAGCGTTTTCTTCTTGCTTCGTTGAAATGTTGTGCTTTCCATCCTTTTTTGTAGCTACACAGACACATGTTTCTGCTTGATAATAAATCCTGTCCTTAAATCCTGTTTTATGCGACAGTCTCAAATGCCCTCCCTTGGACAGATGCTCCTCTAGTTTCAATGGCCATATCCCGATAAGGTTGAAATCCATTAATGGACGATGCATAAACACCCACTAGTGGTGCCCCTGGCTTAGCAATGTAGAGCACCAAGTGTTTCCCCTCAGGACTGCAGGGTTGACTGGGAGCCATGCTCGCTGCCATTGCTGGGTGACATCAAGAGAGGATCGGATGTGTGCCGCTGGCTTGAGGAAAGATTCAAGGTCAAAGTTCTTTTCCCTTGACCACGTGTTGCTTTTGCCCTGTCAAGAAGTGGTTGAGTCCTGAGTGGAACCATCACAATCTGGACACGCCGTAAGCTCAGCTAGGTGACTCAGACCCAAAATGTGGGACTAATTTTCAAAATGGCAACTGGCCAGACAAACTGTTTTGAATTTTAGTTGAAATCAAACACTCAAATGTTAAGTAGCCTTTCTGTTGAATGTGGAGCACTAGCAAATTGGTGTGTCCTCAAAGTCTTCACTCCAAAGAAGGGACAGCCCCAGGGAGAAAAGTTACACACACACACACACACACCACACACACACGGATCCTCATTTCCACACTTGTTTTTGAAGATGAAAGCCAAAGCTCCTAACCCCACCCTGCCTCACGCACACGCGCACAGAATGACTTACTTCAGTAAAGGTCCCCTCTGCCTCAACCCATGCTGGCTGTCTCAAAGTCCTGCCGATTTGGTTCCAATTCCTCCTAAGCCCCACTCATCTGCCACCTGTCCTCTCTACCTGAGCCACACAGTCCTCTCTGCACCACAGCCAGAATGACCTCAGCGCTGCTCGACAGTAGACATCTTACTCAGATGGAGAAGCCAGAGTCCTGAAGGTGACTCAGGGTCCTTCAGGGTCCATCCCTCCACCCCGCACAGCCACATTGGCTGTCATCTCCGGGGAGCCAGGCTGGGGTCTCCATGTTTACAGCTCCCACTGCTTGGACTGCACAGGGCCCGCCCTCTCTTCCTCCATCCACTCTCAGATGACCCCCTCAATAG